TAATTGAGTTCGGACGACGATGGTTGGGCCGAAATGAATGGTCAGTCTGACCAGTGCGTCGTATGTGTAATAATTCCCCCTTGCCACTCCTCGCCTACGATGCGCCCCAAGTTAATTAATGACAATTTAAATTCATAAAGCAAACAGAAACCCCAAACGAAAAATGTAAATGAAAATGAATGGAAAAAGCGAGTCAAACAAAAGAAAAGGGTTTCCCTGGGGGCGGAGGGCGTGTCCTTCGGGATGAAATAAGTGCTGATTGTTAATAACAATTAAATTTATGCTTACATGGCGGCATTTAATGATTTAATGTGAGCGTGACGCCAGTGTTTGTCTCCGAGTCCCGCCTCCAAACTTTGTTGAGGGTGTGCCAGGAGTCGAATATATAATTTGAATAAATACTCGCTCAACTCACGCACACAAAGCCGTTCGCCGTTCGAGCGTCTTTAATTATGCGACAGTAAATTAGATTTTTACAAGCTCACACATCATAAATTTTAAATTGTTGGGCAAACTTGTGTTCTTTACGTGTCTGTCGCTCTGGCTTCTCTGTGTGTGCACAACGACTTAATGATATTTGCGCAGCCAGCCGGGCCGTGTCTTTATTTTAAACATTCGCCCACGCATAATCAATCATGGCACAATTTTTTGGCAGCAAATGAAACCCAAAGCTGGCGGCCTCGTTGCCTTTGCAATTCAGCAGAATCACACGACACGAGAATGGGCCATAATTGAAAATAACGATTTTCTTTTTGCAGCTCGGGCCTAACACCCGCAAGAAATGTAATTCATTAAAATATTTTCAGGGAATGGAAGGGGGAGTGGCTGGTGCTTCTACCAAGTGAATGCGAATGCTAGGAGTCAATGTACGCAGTCAGGTTTGAACAGCCCGAGCTATGGCGACGATGACGTTTACAAGTTTTAATTGCATTTCAATTACGAAAATAGTTTTTTCTTCATCTTTCCCATCCTTATCGCACACATCCATCTCGTTCCGTCCTCAGTAGGATGGTAGGCATGGAACTGCATTGGCTGCTGGATGCAATCTAGTGGGCGAAGGACTCCATGTCTATGTGCATTTAAGTGGCATTCAGTATATCATCCAACATCCAGCATCAGACTGTAACTGCACGATGAAAAACTGAATTTTGTAACCAAAAACATTTCAGGGTCTTTAAACTACACCTATACGACGTCTTTATTGCTTTTAGACCCAAATAATTACTTAGATAGTTGTTTTTTCATATATTTTGGGTCATCTGAAAACACAGGGTCAAGGAATGTTTATGTTTATTATCCTGTGAAAACTCTTCCACGTATTCCCGCATTAAAACAGCGCACACAGCAAGCCTACAACAAGTGGAATGCCTAATTAAGTTTCACCCACGAATATGGAGCAGTTCAATACAGTTACTCGCAGACTGACAGAAAAGTCAGAAGTCGGACCGAGTCTTCTCTGAATGCCTGCTGCCACTACAGCCGCATTCACGTACAGTGACTGCCACAAATAGCTGTCCACAACGTCAGCCAGGCAGCGAGTCAGACCACTTGACAATTGCTGTTTGCATTGGTCTGGCCGGATTTTTGCACTTCTTTCAATGCTGTCCCAATATTGATACAGATCGCAGAAAAAAAATTATAACAATATTATTTTATTGACTGCGAAAATGTTTACACGCAACGCGTAGACCAGGAAGACCCCGGGATGTGTGGATGATACCCGAGTCAAGGCGGCACGCGCAGGATTCGCAGACACTTGCCGGCTGCCAAACTGTCGCCTTATTGGTTATGGCCATTAAAGCGTTTGAGTGTTTGACCAGACTGGATTCACCCCGATGCGTTGACAGCAGCACGATTGAGCTATAAATTGTTGGCAGTCACTGGATTTAAGGCTTAAAAGATGACCGGTCATTCTTAATGAAAACAAAACAATGGGTACACAAATTTTAGATATTTTTTCAGCATATTTTTCCTGCTGCCGCTGGCTGTCTGGGTAGGGAATTAGCAATGCTAAGCGGCGGAGAAAAAACACAGCACACACGTAGCGGCAACAGCTGCGGAACTCTTTTTTCGGCCGTATCCGGCCATAGGTGGTGAGCTGACCATTAAGCTCCCAAAATCGGTCAATAAACAAACAAATGTTGGTGGACTGTACAAATAGCGTGGACGCGATGCATGTGTGAGAGCTGTAACAATAAACAACAAACTGAAGCGCCGGAGAGTGGGCAAGTTTTGCGACAACAAAAGCAAAACACGGTCTGGCCCCGCTTTATGTTTCAGCCGGACACGCGACATGACCATGCCACAGAGTACACACAGAAAAAAGAGTACAAAGGGTTTTCAGGAAATAATCTAATATTATAGATTGATTCTAGATCTTGTATTAATAACAACAAAGTATGCGTTAATAAGAAGTGTGTAAAAACAAATGTATTTTATATTTTTAAACATTATTATCAACTATTTATTTTTACAAGGTTTTTGTATTTGGGGTGCAAGACAATAAAGGTATTATACATATTAGAATGAAACTTTCTTCTATTACTTGGTTTTTCTACCTGTGGGGGTAGAAGCTAGCTGTTGCCGTCAACTCTCTGGGGTCTCGTATACGTGGCATAAAATATTCCTAATAATAAAAAATCGAATAAATCAAGCGGAACTATTTATTAGCTAGCCAAAAATCGACCAATAAGGAACCTAACTGCTGAGTCTGAGTCTGAGTTCCGCAAGCGGGCCACTGCCCGTGCCTTTTAAGTGTGTGTGCTTTGCCACACGCACTCACCTACCAACACATCCAAATACGAGCTACTCAGTTCAAGTGGGGGGGCGTTGCGCCGACTTCTCCCTTCTTGTTGTCAAAAGCCCTGTCTACCTACGCGCTGCACATGCCAAAGTGTTTTTATTACATTTACGTGAAAAATTTGTTGCATGTCCTGCTAAGCTCTTGAAACGGAAACAGGAGCGTGAGTGTGTGCGAGTGCCGCCATCAATGTATTGGTTTAGTGGCGCACGGATACGATTGAGCCGAGTGCGTGTGTTTATCTAAGGCTCGACCACAGAGCCACACAATGCTCATTGTTGCTTTTTGGATTCCTGCTATTTACTTGTCTGGCCTTTGTTGTGCTCTCTGTCACTCCAGAGCTCTCCAGCATGTATTGGTGCTTGCAGTGCAATAAAAGTGTCCTTACACATTTATTTAGCAATTCCTTTTGTTATTATTTTTGGCATTATCGGCATGGCCTCTGCCTTTGTCAGCGAGGAGAGCGCTTTAAGCGGCGGCCAGGCAAAGGAATGAATTCATTAGATTTCTGCCACCCCACATAGCCTGCTGCTTTCAAGCGCGACTTTAACGGAGCAGGACAACAAGATGACTCTTTGTGTGTACGTGTGTTTGCACAAGAACTTTGCGTGGAAAATTAAAATGGCCGCAGGTGGGAGGTGTCAAAAAAGGGCAGGTGGGCGCTTGACCACCAAAATGCCGTTGGGTCGAAGTGGTCGTCTGTGGCCATCAAATAATGACAGAAGGCAGAAGGGTAAAGGCGACCTGCTAGCTGCCTTTCTCTCTGCGTGTGTCTGCTTGTTGCTTTTTAATTAATAGAAAAGTCCTTTGTAAAGTAATAAATAAATATTATGTTTCCGCTTTTGCGTGCATTTTTTCGCTCTCAGTCGATTGCCATTCACAGGCTACCGATCCTTTCCGACCTTCTCCCGCCCATCTCCTGCCGTGACCTTTGACTGTCTGGGGGCTAATGCTCAAGCCTTCTCTTTGTGGCACCCACCTACTCATCATCGATGTGGCTGGCGGCGGTGAATGTTGGTAATTACGGTGAAATTGCAAAAGCATTTTGAAAAATCCCACGAAAAGGATATCGACGCTCAGCACCTGCATATGGCGTTAATTAAATTCACCCAAACAAAAACAACACAATCGCGGGTGGAGCAGTCGATTACTTTTGAATTTCAGCGGAAATTGTTGCCTATTGATTTGTTTGCATTGGCAATCATTTTGTGGCTCACTGGATTTTTGCGGGTAGGTATTCGGCTTTTGGCTTTCAGATCCAGTTTCAGCTTTTGGCAGGGCGCCTGCGAACCCGTCAAATATTTGCCTAATGTGTGGTTCATTCTGCTGGTTTCGCTTCAGTTTGGTTTTGTCGGGTTGGTGTGCGGTTTTTGATTAGCTTTATTACTTTGCGGCGGCATATGCAGGGTGGTTTTTGTACCGCTCGAGTGTGCGAGTGTCTGTGTTTGAGCGTGGCTTTTGGGTGGCTAATTAATGTGTCGACACAGTGCGTGGCCAGTCAGCAAACGCCGCTCATAATGCAAACGAACGCGAACCATTTTTCCTGTAACAATTTCCAGGCAGGACAAAAGGGACAAGCCAAATGTTTTCGCTGTCGACTTGTTCTCCATGCTAATTAGTAGGTTAATTGGCTATAGGCATCAAAGCACGCTTGTTTTTAACTGGGGAGCTCAAGAGGCCCGGCGACTTTGTGGTCAAGTTGAAGGCTTAGCTCTAATGCTGCACTGAGAAAAACCCACAAGCTTAAGTCTTAAGGATTAGGACTTCTCAAAAATAAATGATCTATTATTAATATGAACTATATACATCTTATAATTATCTTATATTAATCTTATAAAAAACTCAGAGGAAATGAAGACTAACAAAGTTTATTAGCATTTTTATCTAGACCCTAGGACATTTTCCATTTATCGCATGTGATAACTACTTGGCCAAATCACGATTTAATATACAAGTTAAAAGTTTTTCTAGCTGTGTTTGACGTTGCCGCGTGGGCGTGGTTAATTGGCAGACAAACCCAATTCGGCCCAAGACTACGGCTGCAAAATGCACTTAACTAGAGCTCCTCTCAGGGGAGGACAGAGGCAAAGGCAGAGTTTAAGGTAAGACAAAAGGTAAAGCAAGGGTAAATGCAAGGATAAAGGTAGATCTGAAGAGAGAAAGACAGGATAGGGAGGAGGTTAGAAAGGGACAGACTTACCAATTCCGCCGGCCAGCACGGTACCCGGCTCCAGCTTGGCCTTCTTTGTGGCCAGGTCCTGATTGTTATTGTCAGAAGCGGGCGCCATGACTGCTGCTTGACTCAAAAGTTCGTCGCTTCCGCGCTGATTTACAGTTACACAGTTACAGGCATAGGTGTGGATGCGGGAGCAGTTTCAGATTCAGATGCAGGAGCAGGTAGGCACAGGCACAGGCACAGGCACAGGCAGTTGGTTAATATATTTTTGTAGTTTGTAGTTGATGCACAGGCGGCAGGGCAGGCACAGACAGAAGTTGAAGATGGTTTATTTTCAGTAGTAGTGGTTTGTAGTTGTAGTAGATGAAGTATATATATACGAATACGGTACATAAAAAGAGAAAATAAAAGAGAAGGAGAGAACAATATAAATATTTGATATTTACGCAAGTATTATAAATTCCAGTGATTCTTTAGCAGTATTTTTGCCCATTTTCCACAGATCTCGGTTTCGGTTTAGGTTCGGTCTTCCACTTTAGTTGAAGTCAACAAACGAAGTGGGTAAGTGGAAATTATCGGGCCATGCGGACTGCCGTTAATCATTACCCAGTGTTAGCTTAGTTATTTACTGACCAGAGCAACCACAGCAGTTCCCCGAGCCGTAGCTTCTTCAAAACTAAATCCACTCGTTCCCATTTGGTTATTCAAAAAAAACTGTATTGTAAATAATTGCGGAACTCGAGAAAAATATTCATTTGAATTACCCTGCCGCCCAGAGCAGCTCCTGTTCTGCTTTTCCAATTGTTTTTTCTTGTTTTATTGCAGCGCTAAGCTCTAATTACAAAGCGCATGAGTGTATTGTAATTACATGTGACACTTAATTACCGCACTCACACAAAGATTCGAAGCCAAAACCAGAAGGAGAAGTTGCAGGAAAAGCAGCAACCTCCTCCTAAGGCAGCATGCACTGGCGGAAATATGTAAAGCGAGCTGAACACTTCTAAATATTAATATTTATTCAAAATTGGTTATTCAGAAAAGATATTAGTTTAATAAATATTAAAATATTGCTGGTTAAAAATTAGGTAATCCTGTCGATGCAATAAGCCTGCTGTTTAGCAAAATATACCAAATCTTTCAGCTGATAATATAATATATATAGCACTTAAGACAAGTTTCGTGCAGTGTGGGAATCAGAATCGGAAGCAGAGCCAGAGTCGGATTCCCAGAGAGCATTGAGAGTAACCAAGTTAAGCCAAACATTAAATGTAATGCGCCCCATAAAAATAAAGCTGCTACAGCTTCAGCTACTGCTGATGCCGACTGTATTGTGCTAAGCAGGATCCGTGTGCGGGTGGCGATGCTTCTGTGTGCGTGGGTAAGAGTATGTTTGTTCAGTTTCTGCTGCTATGCATTAGCGGCAATGACAAAAAGTCAATAAACGGGAGCTGGCGATGGAGGGAGCAGACGGGAATTGCTGGGGGAACACTCTGCACACCGCACAAATTGAAAAGGGTAATTTTGTGTGAAGTAGGCACCTTTATGCCCCCGGCAGTCAGCGTCCCATCTCCATCTCCATTCCCATTCCCATCCCATCATCAGCTATCAATGCTGACTACGCTTGAATTCGCTACTTGGCTTATCATGCTGCGCGCTCTCGCTTTCGCTTTTGCTTTGCTCCTGGCTTCTGGCTTATTTGCTTTTTGCCTGCCGGATTCCGCCTTTGTTGTTTCTTATTTGTTATTTGCTATTTGTTGCTGGGGCTTTTATTTTTATGTGGCTGCACGTTTTATATACATCCATAGCCGAACGCATAAAGGAATTAGCTTAAATACAAAAACAACATGTGGTAATAGGAATAATAAGAAAAGCCAAAACGCACACACTCGCACACGTGCGGGAGAGGAAAGAGTGCGGTGTGCAATAGACATAGAGAGCGGCAAAAACCGCAAAAGCACTTATCTTGATAATATCATACACAAAAAACGAAAACGGAAGCACACCGTCTGTCTGTGTGCGTGTCTGCGTTTGTGTGAGTGCGGGCTGAGTAATGATATCAGCAGAAGCTGCTCACTTTAGTTGTTGTTGCGCATTGTGTTTAACATATGCTTTGTAGCATACTTTGCTGCTGAAAAAGGCAGCGGCATACTTTTTGGGGCTTCTAATTTTTAGTAGATTCTATTAGCGTATTGGTTTCCTTTTTGAGGGTGACTTTTCGGACCTCTACAGTGGGTAATTAAATTTTAAATGCCCTACCGCTCACCACCCCGCGGACCATCAAAAGGGTTGCCAACTAACTGCGCTTACTTAGTACGAGTCTCTAATGCATTCGTTATGGCACATTAACGCTCCCCAAGTGCCGGCTGCCTGGCATGCTACAGGGATTTGCCAGTTCTCAACGGGATATCCCTAACAGTCTGTATGCCAGTGTGCATTACACGGTTCAGAAAGTCCGGCTAATGCCCTCTGCTGCCGCTTGGGTTCCGACTATGCGACGATTTGCTTTTTGCCAAGCTGACCGGAAATGTTATTTTAATATGCTTTCTAAAAAGTATGATAAATATTTGATTAGTAACTGTGTCTGTGTATACCCTTTTCCCTCCATTTGCGTGGGTGAGTGTGTGGCACATATGGGCACAACGATAAGCTGCTGTCCATTTTCCTGAAGGGAGCAGGAGCAAAAAGCAGAAACCCAAGTGGACCGTTTCATTGTTGTCTCGCCTCTGTGCCATTTTAATGAATTTTCCCAGCACCACCTCCTCCACACAGATCTCGCATCCCCTCCACTTAGTTCATAAGCAACGCCCAGTTGCCGGAGGGAGTGGGCAGTTTTCTGGGCACTCACTGATTTCTACGATGACATGTGCCTTTTCAGCCCCTCCCTGTCTCTCTCGGCGTGTTTCCTTTGCTTCCGCCTTTGTTGCCGGGTAACTGGGTCAGCGCGCAATTGTTGCCTCAGAGGGTTGCTGCCACCCATCGCCGGCCGCCCTTCCCGTTCGTGTTGTCGTTGTTCTTGTCCGAAGCAACAGTGGAAAGATAATCACGCATATGCCTAACGGTTAAGTTTTTGAAGTGCGCCACTCTGACAAACACGGAGAAGGGAGCCAGAGACGGCAACAAAGGGTGTCAGAGGCATCTGAAGCTGGCAAAAGCCCCGCATTGCTGTAATGAGCAATATATGGACTGAAAAAATGTTCTAGCTTTAAGAACTTAATCGAAAAATTCCAAGAAAGGTCAATTTTGTTTCAAACGCTTATCCGAATTTCCAATTAGAGGAAAGGATTCTTCTAAAGGAATGTCGCTGGTTTTTCTAGTGTTTTAAAGGATGATATTAAAAGTTATGTTATGTAAAAATGCATCTTTATCAAACTCTTTATGTCGATGATGTAAAGCCTAACTTTATTAGAGCAAGCCTTTGTAGGGCATATGTTAATACCCGATTTTCGAGTGCTTCTCCCGAACTGTAGTGTGCTGGCATTGTCATTTTCATATATGACCATCCCTTGGACCCAGCCTGCTTTGCTCTTTGGGGGTTGTTGTTGTTGTTTAATTTCCCACAAGAGGCTCACAAGTGATTTTCTACTCGAAGACGCTTTAAAATTAGAAAAGCTTAGCACAGACATATCATGTGCTCTTGAGAGGGAGGCAAATGATATGCACATGTCATGTATAAAGCCAAAAGGAACTTTGGGTGTTATTACATCTAGGGTGGAAAAATAGGACAGGCTTAGAGGGCTCAGAGTTGCCTGGACACGAGGAATAAGTGTGCGCAAATTAGAAGGTAGTCCTTTCTACATAATGAGCACTTATCCATGTCTATGTCCATAATCTGTGATTTTTCCGTCCACTACCATAATTTTTTTGCCGCCAAATGGCCTCAAAGTGGGTTATTCAGCAGCCGCCCCTACTTTAATACAGCTACGAAAACCCAGTTGATAATAACTCTGCCCTCAGCTGTGTGGGTGGAGGAAAGGGGGAGGAGAAGAGCCATATCAACGCCCTCATTTATTGTATGGCCTCTGTGCAGTGTTCTCTGTTCTCTTTGTCATGAATTTATGGCGGTGCCGCATGAATATTAAAATCGAATATGTTGCTGTCGATTAAAGGCCTTTCGTTTTGTCTGACTGCTTGTGGCGCACAGATGCTGTCAAAATAGTAGAACTGCGATCGAAACTTAAAGGAATAAAAACCAGTTACCCAGTTTTATAAGCTAACTTTAAACAGACACAAGTTAAATTTACAAAACTTTAAGTCGAACGATTCTTATTCATAAATTATAGTATAAACACCCTTACTGCTTAGTGGCTACCAAGTACTATATTTTTGACACCAAACGTTCGAATTTGTGTTACGTTGGCGGCACAGATACGTGTTAATATTTTCAGTGGTGCACCGAATCGGTTCATTTATGTCGACTATCGACTCCCCTTTTCCTCGCCCGATGACATCATTAATGACAAGGATGATGATGATAACATATAGGGATGTGGGGACATAGGGGAATGTAAGCCGCGAGCAACTGCAAAAATTGCATATGTAGGTAAAAGTAACAACTGTGGCAATCTCTGGTCCTCCTCCCGCTAAAAGCCTTTTTGAAATAACAATTAGTTCAGCCTTTCATCGAGCAGCATCTGTTTTAGCTGGCGGATAAATTAAACATTTTAAGGATTCTCCAAAACCAACTTAAAGTTTCAGGCAGGCATCCAATAAATTCTAATTATAAGGCCAAATGAGACAACCGCTCAACCATCCAACCCCTCCAAGTCGAGTGCTATTTGTTAGCTAGTTGTCAGTTGATAAACGCAACTTGTAGCTGCGGCCACATAGACACAGATATGGGACTCAAACCCTACTCAATCCACCAGAAGACGAGTAACCACCTAACCCACCTGCCGGCTGGCGGCGGAGCAGGCAATAAATTATATGAAAATGCCGCCAAAGTGTAACAGCTGCGGTTCTTGCCAAACTCCGGCTACAGAGGCTGGAGGACGGTCATCGAAACCACAGCAACAAGAAAGAGTCACCGGCTCAGCTGTAGTTTAATATGAAATACTCGGATCTAAGAGCCATCTCCTTCGCAACCACTTTTTATATTTTTTCCGTCTATTTAAAACGGGGAAACTGGAAATTTATGGTGAAGCATATATA